GTGTTTCGTTTTGCTGTGCATGGGTTCACTATGAGTCGGAAATGACTTGACGGCACCTAAGAACAACAACGTTTGGCTGCCAGTGAGCCACAGGGGATAAGTTCATTTTCCAGCTTCAAGGGTATCTAAAGGCCATAGTCTTGGGGGTTCCACCAGTCTTCATCATACCAATAAGCCTGGTCTTTTATTTGATTTTGAGTTTTGATCCTCACTTTATTTTGGACCTTTTATTGTCATCCCTTTCAGAATGGCAACAGAGATAGCCAGGCACCATTTAGTTCTTCTGGTCTCAAGGTCGTGGATCCTGGGGATCACATGCTCCGTTAGTCCTTTGACATTTTTTTTTTCTTGCTTCTTTGATTTTCTTTACTCTTCTTTGCTCCAGACAGGGAGAGACCAATAGTTGCACCTTAGATGGCTGCTTGCAAGCTTTTAAATCCTTACAAGCTACTCATCAAAATAAGATATTGAACATTGTCTTTGTGGACTATGTTATGTCAATTGACCTTAATGTTCCCTGAAACTGTGATCCTGAGCCTCTTTACCCAGCATATCATTCCCTTAAGGTGTTTGGTTATGACTCAGACGTTTTCATAAAAGAAGCTATGGTAGTGTAGTGGTTAAGGTATTTGGCTGCTAACCAAAAGGTTGGTGGTACAGACCTACCAGGTGCTTCACAGGAGTTTGAGGAAAAGTTACAGCCTTGGGAACCCAATAGAGGTAGCTATGATTTGGAATCAACTTGATGCCAGTGAGTTTGGTTTGGAAGATGTTTTCATGCCTTTTCCCCTGTATGCTCTACTACATTCAGGGATTTATTTGCACACATATAAATACATAGGTAGAGATAGCCTCTGTCAAACATACATACATACATATGTGTGAGTGTGTGTGTGTGTGTATAAACAAACAAACCAACAAACAAAAACAAACTCACTGAAGTCAAGTCAGATCCAACTTATAGGGACCCCTTCTTGGGTGTCCAAGGGGGTATCACTACAGAAGTAGATTGCCCAATCTTCCTTCCAAGGAGTGGCTGGTGGGTTTGAAGTGCC